CCTCCGCCGAGTTCCCGAGGCTCCTCCCACCCAAGCACCAACGCCAAGCTCATCTACGTGTGATGAGTTTAAAAGTAGATTAATTAGTTTTTATCGTATTTAGTAAGTTTTAAAGGCAGATATTTTAGCCACACGCCCCTTGTGGAACTCAGCATTAATTGACCGGGCAAGCGTGTATAATTAACAAATAGACATTATTTTTTAACAAGTAATAAGTGAACAGGAACTTTTTACAAACTACATTTTTCGGATTCTCAGATATTGACATTTCACCCTTAGATTGCGAAGCGCATTTTATTGTGCACCGCCTGTTCGGATTTGGGTTGTTTGGACTCGGCATCCAACGAAACCTGTTCGAGGCAAAATATATAAAATATATTTTCTTTGTGTTCAGTTCTGACATTTGTTTTGATATTATTATTCGTTGATTGAATATTGAAAGCAATAAATTGTATTCCTTTGCTCTTTTTCGACTTAACAGATCAAAAACAGTTTTCCGTGTTTGATAGTCTGATCAAAACACGCGGGATGTTGAGAGAACACGAGAGGAGCGTAGGAAACCACGACGCGTAGCGTAGTGGTTTTCAGCTTCTCGAGTGTTCTCCCAACATCCCAAGTGTTTTGATCAGACTATCAAACACGGAAAACTGTTTTTAATTTGTTTTATAAAATAACAAACACGCGAAAAGATCGAAAAAAGCAAAGTATAAGTAAATTCTCCCTACGTGCTATTATTTGTGAATAGACTATTCGGCTAAAATCCAAAATAAAATGAAAATATAAATAAACCAAGGAGCAGATTAAATAAGGATTTCTTGTTATAGTTAATCTGTTAGCGAGAGAGGTATTATTTTCACTGAACTCATTTAATATTCAAACGAGCAGACGTAAGCAAGAGAAAAAGGAGTGGTAAATACTCTCAGTACAAAAAATATGAAAACGTTATCAACCACGAATCAGCTTTTTATCGAAGATTCCTAACTGTTTATTCTTAATGGCTAATAATTTACTTTCTTATCTTTATCTTTGGCCCACATTCGAGGGCGCGAATCTGATCTAAGTGGAACTGATGCATTTGAAATACCTAATTAACGTTGCTATGACTAGAAGTTTGGCATATATATACCCAGTATTTCATATATTGTATCCTTAGATTAACTTAATAAAATTACATAAATGTATATTGCTTCATGAGAATATCAAGAAGATGGGTGCTAATTAACTGAAAAAAAGAAAGTGTAAAAGACATTCTGGTAGTTGTAGTTAATCACGACACAATGCAAGTGTCCTATTTCAAATGGTTACTGTCTATGTTAGCGGGGGCCTTTCGATTAAACAACTAAAAAATATTTTGTGCGCGTCGGTTTAAACATTATTCCATTGTGTTATATATAATGTTAAAGTTACATCACATGCTCAGAGTACGCTAGTCTTGCGCTTGCTTGCTTCTTCCCTTTTTTGTAATTAGTATCATTTACTACAACATATTGTAATTTAGTATCGTAATCAGTATTTTGTAATGGGTATGTAAGCATCTCTCGGTTGAACATACGCAAAAGATATATTAAATTGTTATAAAATTGTTATTTCGAGCTTATTTTTTTAAATTTCATAGGTTGCAAAGAACCACTTGGTTTGGAGGATGAGAGGATTAAAGACAGTCAAATTACAGCCTCGTCAGCTTTTAATAATGATTTCTCGACGTACGGTGGCCATCAGGCCAGATTGAATAAGAAGACCTATCCACCGGGATACAGAAGTGATGAAAACAGCCTGCCATGGTTGAAGGTGGAATTCAACAAGCCAATGGTCGTTACAAGCATAGCTACTCAAGGTTATGGGGATGATTCGGTAGCAGAATGGATGACAGAATTCTTTCTTTTCTATGCAGACAATTATGGACAGGAATTTAAAGCATTCAGTAGTTCGAATAATAATGTAAGTGCGTGCATTTGCGTACTGCCCTGCAGTCCAGATTCAAGCAATATAATTTATTTATATATTAAACATGTCATGTCAATGTTTAATTAAGTATTATGCATGGAACTACGTATTCTTYGTGATACATTTCCGTTGGTATCTTGCAGGGTCATGAGGAGGGATCGGTTTCGTATGTTTGGATTCCAGGATCAAGGATTGTTTTCTGGAATGAAGACATTTCTAGATTTCACGATTAACTTGCCAAATAATTCGAATCAGGGATCCAAATGTTGTGTACAAATTCAGAATCAATCACGAAAAACAAAAAAATTTCCCTCATCACCTCAGTGTATCTTACTGATGTTTCACATTTCATCCCCGTAGAATTTTGTAGCAAACAAGGACAGGCACAGTGTGAAACTGAACTATTTATCTTTTCCTGTGGTAACCAAGTCAATACTGCTCCAATCAAAAGAGTTCCACAGGAATGTGGCATTTCGCATGGAACTTTATGGTTGTAAGCCCGGTAAATATACATACTCCTTAATTTACGCACCCTTTGCTTTAACGACAAAGAAATTTGTAAGCATACTGATTGGTCTCAAATTTTAATCACGAGAGCCTACATGAGGAACGTTGGGAAGCCCTAAATCTTTCAAAAAGACGTATGGTAAAAGTTATACTACCATGATAAGCCATGAAATTTCTTGCGCCCCTGCAAATTGAAACTCACATATGTTATATGTTATATGTATATATGTTATATCTTAGTGACATAGACTAAAACATACAGTCACATAGCAGAGACCAAGTTTATTGTCCTGGATTTTTGCTTATTAGGATATTACTTTGCTGTCTGGATAATGGTTCGCAACGAAACATTTCGACATCAATACATGTACTCCTATACAGAAGTGCACAAAACCATGAAAGAAAAAGTAGTTAACAAGGTAAAGATAGATGCAAGTACTTTTTCTTATGTTCTCGATTGGTAATCGTAAGAATACCGAAATCAGAGCGTGGAAGCAGGAAAATATAAAATGGGAGGGGTGCCGAAACATTTCTTACGAAACTATAGCCAAATAATAATTGGGAGATCGTGGTTCAAGCCTCGGCCAGACCAACACTCAGGGTCTTAAAACAAGGGAAAGGTGTTGCCTTYGTAATAATATCTGCAAATGGTTAGACCTTCTAGGCTTCTCGGATAAGGACTTTAAACCGTAGGCTCTGTCTCCCAACCCTTCCTAACCTGCAGTAGTATGGGGGACATAAAAGAAGCTATTGAATCATTCAAGTCGTGTAAGAGTAGGGGATTGTCTCCCGGTTCAGCATAAAACTAATGGACTAGCAAATCACTTATGATTGTAAACTGCACGGCTGATAATAGCCGTGGCCTAAATATGCAGTCCGTAAAGTCATCCACTGGTCATAAATGTAAAGCGCATTGAGACGTTGTATAAATGCGCTATATAAGAACCTTCCATTCATATGAAAAGAAGAGGCGAGGCCGGTTTGCCCATACTTCGCTTATTATTTAGTGAAAACTCTCAAAGGAAATTGACTGCCCTTCCCTGGAAGTTGCCTATATAAAAACGAGTTACAAGCTAGAGGGTTGAAAATYGTAACATTGTATTTACATGCTAAGATTTTCTTTCGTAGGTCAGTCATCAGCTTGAGAAGGTGTCAGGGTACATATCTACGAGATTGCTTCGATTTAGGTATTGTGTTGTTGAATTATTATACATAAACTGGTCTCATCAGTACACGCGCATAAGAAGCCACTGATTAGCATGGGGTTTCTCATTTCCCAATATATATCACTACCTTCACGATCGACCGTGGAACTTCAATATTTCTGCTCCCATTCTCATTTAAGACTATTAAAGGAGTAAAAAGAGCCTATGATTGAACAAAAAAAGAGCGTGCTCGCGCTGTTTGCAGTTATGAAGCACGCGGGGATTGTCAGAAAACAAAATAGGAAGAACACGAAACATAACAGAGGTCATTCTTCATTGGCGACCGAGCGGGATGAATAGCAATCGAAGCTTCTTGTGCTAAGTTTTCAGATTTTGCAATACAATAGTATTCTGGTATACTTCTCTTGAAGTCTATCAAAAGTTAAAGCCGAAACGTCATGCTTTACAAAATCTACGCTCTTAAACCGAAATTCGTATTACATTTAAAACAGCAGTAGGTGCTCTAAGAAAAGTTTGGAAAATGCCAAAAATAATTGATATAACGATGATTGTTAATTATCAAACATAAATAAACATCATAATTTACAAAAAGGCCGTATTCCATGAACCCTTCACATTGGCTGTCTATTTGAAACGAAAACGCGTTTTGGGGGGAGGGGATGCATGGCTTGTCAAGAATAATTATAAGTTAAATTTAGTTTCCCGACTTGTAAGAAAAATGTGTGAACTGATGCGCCCCTGCATAACATGTAGTTTATGGTGCCAAAAACAGAATTGGTACTGAAACTGGCAGTCACGCCTTGCGGTATATTCTTTATCACAGCCCACAATGAGATATTCTTTTGTTTGAAGAACCATGCAAGTGAGGCTATCGGGTCGATACAATGCATCAGGTAGTCTCATTTGCACCATTTGCATCCGTCCATAATATCTGCTATTTAATCATTACAGATCAAAACGCAAGTAGTCCCAGCTAGAAACTAATAGAACATTTCCTTGTCACTCCCATTCATAAGCTGAAAAAGATGTAAAACAAGGCATTTTAAGACATTCCTAAAAAAAGAGTTTTTTTTATTGCAGCCCTAAGCCGTACAAAATGGTATCTCCTTACCTTGTGGCAGAACTTGAAATCTACTGTTTAGAGAGAGATCAAGAAAAAATGTTATACGAAATCCAGAAGTTGATAAAACAAGACAAATTCTTCGAGACTTCGTATTTGATTACTAATTACCCACGTAAGCAAATGCAGTTGTTATTTATATGATACTGTTGAAAGCAATATTGATAATGAATGATAGTTTGCGACCCTTTCAACGATGGGTTTTGTCACTTGCTTTGGTGTGCTATATTATCTATTTAGCGTTGAAAATTTAATTGGCGCATGACCAAAATTAACGTTGTCAATCACATACATGGCCGCATTCTTTCGGATCATTGCTTTGCACTTGGATGGGCTGCTAACCACAAATTTCTTTTAAAAATCGAGAAGTGCATGTCGATTCATTCATTGGAAGTGGTAATAAATCACTCCGAATAAAGTGAAGGAAGAAGTTTATATCCAACTCCTTGAATTAACAAGAAGTTTTAACCAACTGCTAATGGCGCAATCCGCTTTGGATGCTGAGGTCACAAATCAAATTTACTAGTTTCCTGCCAATCCCTGTCCAACRGCCCTTATATAGGTGCTTAAGTGCAGTTTTGAAGCATCGAAGTTCTAAGAAAACTTTAATTTACTGTAATCAGCATAAAGCTAGTTATCGTTTTCTTTCTTTTAATAACATGCACAACATTAAACTTTCAGTGGACAAAAATTGCCTTCCGCCCCTTATTGACATAGGACTGCCCAAGAATCCTTTTGAAGCCGAAGAACCGACTCCTGGTGTCCTTGCAATTAAAATGAAAACTACTAACAGATGCAATGAAAAGGATCAGGCTACACTTTTAGGTTGTATTGGTACTGGTATTGGTGAAAATGAAGGACTCTTCAAATATTTTTTCGTCATTTATGATAGACTAAAAAGAAACAGGGATCGGTCGATCAATAGAAGATATTTTGAAATAGGAGGCAAATCCAAGCTCGCTTATATTATGTGTTTCGCAATACTTGAGGTGAATAAAACATTTTATGGAGAAAATTATGAATATGGATTTGTTCAGCTGAATAAAAATAAAATTGTTGCAAGAATCAAGGGACAGGACTTTGTAATCAGAGGAATGAAGGCTTTGCTATTTGATGCTTATGACTCCTATCACACATTGCTGCCCTGGAATCGGCACCATGAACTGAACTTTTCATGGACGCTCATACCGAGCAAAGAACATGGTGAAGTCAATTCTAGCATTCTTCCTGCAATGTTTGGTGATGGTGTAAAGGTTGCATTTAACGTCAATGATCTTGATGCTAATGCTACTACGTACAATATAACATTGGTTGTGAGTGATGGAAAGAAAACAGGTACCACTAAAAAACAAGTGCAGGTTTTTGACAAACCTAAGGTGTATATAAGGTATGGGTAAAATTTTGTTAAATAATATCAATAGCTCTYATCGTAGTTGAGCACGTCACTCCGACAAACCAGCGGCATTTCGATGAGCGTAGCATCAAAAAGGGACTATCGGGTCGAGCTTCGAAGAGTTCGTTTAGAAATTCAATACATATCATCGAAAGATCACAACATTTTGATTGATATCTTTGTTATACATATAGTATTTTTCGTTTTTCTAACTAGAAGGGCTTTACTAAATCATAGTCCATGCAAGTTTGGGTAATGTATATGGTCATTTTTGCTGGTCAGAGAATTCTTGTTTTGAAGCCGCCGTGACACAGTATAGTCTGCTAGCTGTGATCATCGAATTATTCGGCACTGATTTGGTAAGAAGCCGTAAGTTTCCGAGTCTGCAAAGGTATTCGCTTCCTATTTCTAACCGAAGATAGGATATTTAAAAGATTCGAACAACTTTTTGATAACTCAGTGTTCTCTCGACTTATTTTGATGCATGAGCCATGTCATTCAGCGAGTAACTTTTTGCAGTTATCAATCACATGGTAGCAAAAGTCATGATAATTCCTTACTTTCTGCCTTCAAACTTCTGTTCATACATCCAAAAACTATATTGTGTTTGGCCATAGTTAGAAAGACGAAAAAATACTTTGCATAACAAAGATAACTCTCAAAATGTTGTGAACACTCAAAGATTTGTAGTAAATTTCTTAGCAATTTATTTGAAGCTCGACCCAATAGTCTCGTTTTAATGCTATATCCATCACAATTCCGCTGGTTTGTTGGGGTGGCGTGCTCAACTGCGATAAGAGCTATTTAGGCACTGCCTAAGAGCGGAGCTTTAACTATCTGCATTTTTTCAGATAAAGACAATTCCCCCATAATGAAGACAAGTAAAAAAAAWCCAACCAATCCAATCCACCTTACTATTCTCTCGCTTTAGAAATTTTGGCAAGTGTATTCTTGAATAAAGTTATTTTTTAAATAATTCTTTGATAATGTTTTCCATGGACGACATATTTCAATTACTGGTTAGTTTTAATCGAAAAACGAAAGATAGTTACAGATAATGTATACGTAACACATTATATTATGCAGGTTTAGTGAAGTTTACTTAGAAGGCATATGTGTCTTTCCCTCAAATTAAAAGTTTGGAGCTTTCCTAAATTTTTCGGGACAAAAAAAAACACTCGAAATAGACTTCAAAACCGGTTTAAAAAAATACTGAGCAAAATGGAGGCCTACTTCTACTTCTTTTAAATAACGAAGTTTGGGTATCTATATGAAGAGGGTATCATACTTCTCGAATTTGGAAAGGTCATCAGGGGAGAGACTAGCCGGCCCCCAGACCATATATACAGCTAACCCCTTGCACTCTGCCACGCACTGTCACGTTGATTTGAAGTGGAAAATAATCTAGTCTATCGTTGTGCATCGTTTTCGAGTCTATTGTTGTGTTAATTTCCTGAAATCGTGGCCCAGTGGAAAAAAACTTGGGCTTCTAAGACACTGATTCAAGCACGTTTCAGGGAGATTAGCACTTGGATGGGTGACCTGAAATTTATAGTTACCCGAGTTTGTTTGTTTTTTTTTTTTTTTTTTTGTTTTTTTTCTTTAATTAATTAATTTCTTTTAAGATAATCGAATACCGTATTTACTCGAAACTCCTCCCAGGAATAAGCGCCTCCCCCAGGAATAAGCGCCTCCCCCGAATAAGCGCCTCGCACCTTAAGGGGGCACTTCTTCTTGTTATAGTAATAGTATACTAATACCAGTACTGTTGTAGTAGTATAACATTGATATTAAAAGAAAAGCATACTTTGACACTTGCGTACGCATTTCCTCCCGTTGAATAAGCGCCTCCCCCGAATAAGCGCCGGGTTTTAAACGTGAAAAATTTATATGAAAAATGTTTTTTCCCCAATTTTAATCTGCAAAAGGGCAATCCATTCGGGTTTTTTGGGTCTTCATGGTATTTTGGTAGCGCGTATATGTGTCCACCACCCACAGATCTTCTCTAGTGTGCTCCATTTTTATACGCGAGCATCTTTCTCAAACCTACCATTTCTACCTTCAATTTTTACTGCTCAATTTATGCCCTTTACAGAGATTGGCTCTTAATAAAATGCTTTGAATGCTCTTGAAATCGAAAGTATCACAGATAAAAAGGGGGGAAAGGTATTTTGGAAAGGTTTTTGCATACTAAGTTAGTAATCTAGCAAAATAAATGTAAATAAAGGAAGTGGGATATTTTAGCCATCCAGTAATAGTCATTTGATCATTTCCTGCAAATGGCTCATTCTGAAAAAATTGTCGTATTGTCACTTTTTATATTTTTTCCACTAAGTGCACTAAGTAGATTCCTATACTTCTTAATCGTATTTCCACAGATGCATGAGAAATTGCGGCCCACGTCACAATGGCAACACTTCGCGTGTTTTTCAAATGTTTTGTGAAGGAAGAGCTTGTAGTAAAAGTCAATTCTCTGAATGGCAGCTGCGTTACAACAATCAGTCTGTTTCTAGTGTTTGTGATGGTCAGTCAGTTTATCAACGAAGCAACTTAACTCTGGAATTCTTTGGTTTCACTTGTCCTGGAATAGGGACACTGGGCATTACCGGCATTATGCATCTCAGTAACAACTACACTACATTACCAATTGTAGCAAGCTTTTATCTAATGATCGCTAACACTACAAGAACTTGTTCTGTTACTCCAAAAAGTGGTRAAGTACTTGAAACTAACTTCAATATCAGCTGTGTTGGTTGGGCTGACGGAGGTCTGTTTCCAAATTATAACTTATTCCTGACGACCAACGCAGGGCCCATTGACTTGCTACTCAATGAATCGGCTTCTGTTATGCTTACAGTACTTCCAACAGGAGATCCCAAAAGAGACTACAAACTAAATCTGAATGTAAATGTTAGCTATCAAAATGGCGAAGAAGAATGTGTCCCATTGGATGTAAAGGTATTTTAAAATGAAGTCACCCAAAACCTCTCAATTTAGAAATGTATGTAAAAGAAAGTTTCTAATCCTCATTAAGGTAAAATCATTCTAGAATTCTTATGAAATTTGATTAAAATATAGATCTAACACGACAAACTCCCGTAAAACCTCAGTGGCCGAGCGGTTGAGATCTTGTCTAGCAAACGAGAGGTCAGTGGTTCGAGTCCCGCGAGAACCCAACTGAGGCAGATTTTTTTAACTGCTTATACACTCGATGTAGCATACACTTAACATATACATTCTAGAATTGTGCTTCCAAAAGAGTTTATATTAAAGCTGATCCCACAGACAATATAGCTTCTTTTAACTCATAAAAGCGGAGCAAAATCTGACAATGTGTTGGGCCTATTTTTTATGAGTATCTCTTAATTTTTTACAGGTCTCTCCAATGAACCCTACTGCTGTTTTTGATATGTTCAAACCTGGAAGTAACTTTACATCCATGTTTTTGAATTTGGTGAAAAAKGGGGAGGTCAACAAAGCTTCTATCATTGCAATTGCTGCTCTTTCTGCCTTTAAAGATCCTCTAAACGAGTCTAGCGTAAGTCCTGATCCGCAGATTTTTATTCTTTTATTAATTTACTTTATGGCATGACCCTCTATTTCTTCATTACTTATCATTTTTATTTGGCTACTATAAAACAGGTATCTCATAATGATAAATTACCAGCATCTTTTAAAGTTTGAGAACATTCCATATTGTGAAATGGCAACCTTTTGTCGATTGCTTTTACATGTATTAATATCCTTGTTTAATTCAAATTCCATTCCTTTTTATAGAAGTTTGAAAATATATCTGTGTCGCTTATGGCTTATAAGGCAAGTACAATAGATTATTTATTACCGTCGAAGCTACCATTAAAAACTCATCTGTTTAGCGTGACATTTTGTTCTAGTCCCAGATGAAGATCTTAAGTTATCTGATCTTAAGCAAGGGAGGACAATTGTTTGCGAGAACCATACTTTTGATTTTGTCTAATTTTTGGGTGTGTGGGATAGGGAGGGGAGGGTTGCAGCCCCCTCACTTTAAAAACCTGTCCGCCTTCCTTGTTCATTAATGTTAATTAGCATCAAAGCAAGATGTAAATCAAACTCTGAATAAAAACCGAAGGTCATAAGTAGGTTCAAAAGTAGTTGATTTTGCTCTTTTTCAGGTGAAAACAGATGTGCTGAGGAAGTATAAAAATGTCTCGATCAATCGTGTTGATGAAGTTAGCAAGCTTCTGTACGTAATTGCATTATGCTCTGAACAAAACTATGCAGCTTCTGAAAATGGCTACGATCTTCAGGAGAATCAGGTGAAGTTTTTAAAACATATATATTGAAACACTTGAAAATTAGAAAAAATAAGCATTCATACATATCAAAATGCATAGCTCTCATTAACCGAGTGCGAGGTCCGTACCGTAAGTTATTGACCGAGTTTTTTCCACTGCCTTAAAAAAGTGGAAAAAGCGAGGATCCATAACTTACGGTACGGACCGAGCAAATGAGGTTAATAAGTTATTTATTATATGGCAAGGCATTGAGATTAAAAAGAGGCGAAGCAACAAAAAGTAAAGTTGACAGCGCATGGCAAACGAGAACTGCATTGGAAGGGCTTCCTGTACGTGCCACAAGTCATGTAGTGTTTGAGTCGCTCAGAAAGAGAAGTTTTAGCTTACTTTGGATGAATTTGGCTATAGTTTAAAGTTTTCTGAAATACTAGTTAACAAAAGTGAGGCTTTCTTTTGCAAAACATGTAAATGCAAAGCAAAAAAGGCGTCAAAAGAAGATGTTTTGACTGCTTGAAGCAAGCCGGCCATATATGCACAATACTTGATCATGAAGACACACTTTCTACTCAGTGAAAACGTACTGCCAGCTCTCCTGTCCAAAAGTGCATTCCAATCCAATTGAGGATGAAATATTATGGTTTATTGAAATACTTCAAGAGCGGATGAGCCTAGAAAACTGCTTAAAACGTCAACAAAAGAAACCACTGGCTTCTTCATCTGGATTCAGATTCAGTTCAAACTTGACGTTGTAGTAAGCTAATGCTAAAAATAACACGTACTCGTAATGGTTAAATTCTTCTTATGAAACTATCTTTATTTCATTTGGCTGAATTAGCTATTCAAGCCACCATGTTTGACCTAGTTTTTTTGTTCAAGTCGCACAAACTATCACTGCATATAGCCTAGATCGAAAAAAGCTGTCACTAATCATAAGTTTTACATTAAAATTTTGTGACTTTCAGGTTCCTTATATGACTAAAATAAGTTATCTTTAATAATCCATTAAGGGTTTTCGTCGATTTTCATCCAGAAGAAATTTTTCATAACGAGCATGTTAATGCTTTAAGCTAGAGATCATAAAGTACCTCAGTAGTGACTTATTTCATTTCCATGCCATAAGTTATGGACTACAAATTGACCAATGATAGCGCGTGAAATTACCTTGCCATATTTAACTAACACTTTTTTTTWAAATTTTTGTTAAAATACTTTAATCTTGCACAAACATGCCGGGTAACATTGTTGAATTGTTTCTGCAGATTAGTAACCCTATTTGCACTGCGACTTGCAAACCGTGTTAAATTGTTGGTTGACATTACGCGACTTACGAAGTATCTATGTTACCGCATATTTGATAGTATTTTTCATGGTTTTTACCCTAATATCATTCCATATCTCAGATTAATGCCTTGGATATTCTGGAAACCACAACGGATTTCGTATCAGGAAAGGTTGAATCAGTGCCAATTAAGACGTACAAACGAATCAGCAAAGTTACTTTTAACACTCTTGGATCGATAATGAAATCAGCATCAAATGAGACTAAAACCAAGAAGCAAGTCAACATAGTTCAGCACGAGAAAAAATACAAGAAAATCCAGAAAAAGAGAAAGATAAAAGTAAGGATGGATGGATGGATTTTATGGATGGATGGATAGATGGGTGGATGGATGGATGGATGGGTAGGCAAGGGTATTATTTATATTAAATTTATTTGATATTAAAGAGTACTTTAAATAAATAAAGTTTTTTTATTTTTATTTTTTTATATATATTCAGGCCGAAAAAATTATTAAAAAAGCAATGAAGATAACCAAGGAAGTAGCCCAGTATATGTCGGATGTGTTGGGACCAGGAGAACAATCAACAATAGATGCCCCTTACATGGCCATGCTCATTCTAAAAGGTGACAGGATAACATTCAGTAGCCAAACTATTCATTTTCACAATTCTATTGTACGACTTCCGTCACATAAGGTGATGTTTGCTGGCCATACGATAAAGAATTACGACTTGCTTGATTTAAAGGTAAGGAAAAAGGCATCCTAATAAAGTGTTGATAGCCCATTTTACATATAAGTACGCAGTCGCAGTCGCAGTCGCAGTCGCAGTC